AATCTGCAGAAGATTTGCTCAACCACAGGAGCCAAAGGGTTTTTCTCATATAGTGTAGTATTTATTAGTAATCCATGGTAAGTAACATAAATCAATATAAAAACAGAATTCTACGTGGAGAAATAAAACAAGTACCAAAATGGCTGCCGTTCCTTGCCCAGGAGTCGACGGCATGACATCAGCAATGTGGCTCCAGAATAATTGACCAAAGATTGCAAAAAAGGATCATTTGAATGATGGCTAAAGAACCTCGATCAACTTCAAGCTAACTTTAAGGTACAGGGTACAACTCGTCAGGTCAGTGTCAGGTCACACTATATGTCACCCTCTGAATAAAAAGGGATGCTATGGTAAGAGACCCAGGAGGACCCCACTGCTACACAGAAACATAAAAAAGCCAGATCGGAGTTTGCCAAAACTTACCTAAGGAAGCCAAAATCGTTTTGGGATAATGTGATGTGGACAGACAAAACAGAATTACAGCGTTTTGGTACAGCCCATCATTCCACTGTTTTCAGAAAAAGCAATAAGGACTTTGAAGAAAATAATACAGTCCCTACAGTCAAACATGGTGGAGGTTCACTGATTTTTTGAGGTTGCTTTGCTGCTTCAGGCACTGGATGTCTTGACTGTGTGCATACCAGTGTGCAGTCTGAAGACTGCCAAAAAATTCTGGTGTACAATATAGGGCCCAGTGTCAGAAAGTTTGGTTTTCACCAGAGCTCATGGGTCTTACAGCAGGATAATGACCCAAAGCACAAGTCAAAAAGCACCCAGAAATGGTTTCAGACAAAGCGCTGGAGAGTACTGAACTAGCCAGCAATGAGTCCAGATCTCAATCCCATAGAGCACCTGTGGAGAGATTTCAAAACAGCAGTGGGGAAAAGGAACCCTTCCAATCTGAGAGACCTGGAGCTGTTGGTGAAAGAAGAGTGGTCCAGAATTCCAGGAGAGAGGTGTAAGAAACTCATTGATGGTTACAGGAAGCGACTGATTTCAGTTATATGTTCCAAGGGATGTGCTATCAAATATTAAATTGAGGGTGCCAATAATTTTGTTGAATCCATTTTGGGGGGTTCGCATGGAATGTGTCAGATTTGGCTTTTTGTTTCTCCACTTTTTTGTGTCATACCAATACAAACAAAAGAAATAGACATGAGAATGCCTAAACATTTGTAATCGTAACAATTGTCTGGGCGAAGTGGCGCATTATCTGACAGAAATGCAGGGGTGCCAATATTTTTGGCCATGACTGTACTTGCCTATCCTATATATGCAGCCATCAAAATTACACTGGCAAACGAAATTCAGCAAATGAGATTCACACTCTGAACTGTTTCTTTGTTGTCAATTTAACATACTTTCAATGTATATATATATTTATACACTGGCAACTCTGCACTATTCACTAACAACCTCATTAAATTATTATAGCCAAAGCCTGTCAGATGTGTAACATACAATTTTATTTCACTGTCTAATGCAAATTGTATTCATAGGCCCATACTGACTCCAGAAGCCATTACAAGTATCTTTATGTTAGACATCTTGTGATGCCATTGATTTCACTAATAAAACACATGTAACCCCATATATGTGGGCATTTCACTGTAGTTTTTTTGATTAACTGATTTTTTTTTTAATGTGGTGCACCACTATGATAAAAGGAGACTGTATAGCAGTGTTTCTCAACTGCAGTCCTCATGGACCCCCAACAGGTCATGTTTTCAGGATTTCCATTATTTTGCACAGGTGATTTGATCAGTTTCACTGCCTTAGTAATTACCACAGCTGTTTCATCTGAGGGAAATCCTGAAAACATGACCTGTTGGGGGTCCATGAGGACTGGAGTTGAGAAACACTGCTGTATAGTCATAGAACATAGCTTCACCACCTTTGCCTGTGTCTTCGGCCTCTTCTCACTCTCTGGAAATGAAAAATGACCTGTGAATGGAGGAGGAAGACCTTTTTTTCATCCAACTGTACACCATTCACAGATCATTCATGGAAGGCTCTTCTGTGATGACAGAAATACCTCAAGGTTCACACATGGGAACTCTTGAAAAACTGAATTTGAACTTTATATGGCTTTATCATCAACTGTTGTTTATTTAGCCACACCCAGCATACACGTCATGCCCCAAGGCTCCTTCCCAGCCCAAGAGTGCTGTTTGCTATGAGAGGAACCTACAGGTTGCTGGGGATAGAATTTAGGATGTGAAAAAGGGGATACTGCTGAGTCTTATTCAACACACTAAATCACTCATCACCTGTGAGCAGATCGATTTATGCACCTAGTCCATGCCTAAAGATTCTGCTTCTTGCCTCTGGTGATTAAGCCTAGGTTCATTCAGCTTTTATAAACCAGCCCTTATGTAGCCCCCTCCTAGGTAGGCTGCTAGGTCAATTTAGTGTTCAGCTTGCTCTGTAGTTAGAGAACCTAGAGTTGATTGCTTGGGTCTGTTCCTGGATTCCCAGGTGTCGAGATTGATTATTTTCCCCTGTCTTCATTGAGAAACTTCCAGAATTTAGGGAGGGAAATGCAAATTTCTCACCTGAATATTTGCTACCCTCTGGCTAAGCCCTGGGGAGGTGTGCCCAGTAAGTGGTTGAGGAGAGCTGGGGGGAAATAGGCTGGAAATTGTTCAGAATTGTTTTTTCTCTGGAGGAAGGGGAACTGTGTGGTTTTTACCCTGGAGGAAAGGGAACCGTGTTCTTCAGGAGGCTGCTAAGCGCTAAGGTTTTCCTGACTCGCTTCTGGACTACTCCTTCCCTTGGATTGAGCCCATTGCATTGCTTCTACCGGGATTCACGAGTAGAGCTCCTTCTCCTGAGCTGCAGTTTATCTATGGTCCCCAGCTGTGGATGTTATAAACTGCTTAAGAAGGTATATGGTAGATATGGTAACTATTACCAAGGTTAGAACAAGTTATAAGGCAGTCTGACTGCTTTGTTGCTCCAGGATTTCTTTGGCATGCCCAGATATGTGAAAACCAGTCCCTGGAAATGTCCCTGGTTTTTAGTACTAAACTATGTACTGCGACTCATAGCGGGCAGTTATGAACCTATGAATCGATTTTTGACTAGTAAGAGGATGTTGCATCTTCGAACATTGTGTACTTCTGCCACAAAGACAAATCACACTTGATCCAGTTTCTAGGTTTCTACTCTGATACGTCTTTTTACATGTAGCAATCATTTGTGATGGAACTGCAAATGGCGCTCAAAAATAGCATAATAATTGCAGCCGCAAACCTTCTGTGTGTGAATTAAATCCCTGATAAACAATATCAAATGTTAGAAGGGCTTCTTAGCCAAGTCAATTTAATCACTTCGGCACTAGAGCAATTTTTTTATTTTTTGCACACATGTAAAAATCTGAATTGTAGTACAAATTACTTACTTCCCAGAACATTATATATTTTCTTAAAGGAGAGACTTTGTAGAATAAAAAGAGATAGTAGTTGCAAATTCTTGCACAATATTTGCACAAAAACATATTTTCAGGAAATAAATACAATAAAAAAATTTTTAGTGCATACATACACATTATAATACTCAATTTTGTGGTAAAATATAAAAGATGGGGTTGCATCAAGTAAACAGATACCAAACATGCCAAGTCTTAAAATTGCATGCATCCATGATATCATGAAAAAAGACAGTACTCAAAAATCTCCATAGATGATGCTGTAACCACTTGAGCTCCAGGAGGTTTCACCCCTTTCATGATCAGAGCAAATTTTGGACTATTCAGCACTGTGCTACTTTAACTGGCAATTGCACAGTCATGCAACACTGTATGAATATTACATTTATAGTCACTTCCTATGACTTTTTCAGAAGGGTCCCTTCTGAAAAAGTCCTAGGAAGTGACGAAACGGGTCAGGGACACGTGACGTCAGACGTATCGACGCTGACCGGAAGTGCGATCGCGGCCATCTTGGAAGTGGGAACATGCGGCCAATGTTTCCCTAACTTGTCTGCACCTGTATCCCTGTGAGGAGGAGCTGCTTCACCCATATCTTAATGTAAGTTGCTAAATAAAGGAAGATTGTGTTTGATCTACCATTGGTAATTGTGGATTTTCTCATGAGGGAAATGGAGGAATAACCCTAACATTGGATGAAACCTGAAACCAGATGTGTAACCCAGAGTGGTGTTATGCCCTGTCATTTCTTATATAGGGTAATTATCCATCAGCACTTGAGTTGGAGATTGCTGGCTTGGGTTTAAGGTGTACACTGACGTATACAGAGTGTGGTGATACACATTTTTGCAGTGACAATTTTTAGTTTGTTTTCACTTATTGTGCAGCTGACACTTTATGTGAGTGTCTTTCATTTATATATTTATTTTAGGTACACATTAGATTATTTGCATGTATATAGATACTCACCTATAGAGTATACATGCTTATATAGATTTTGCATGTTGCACAGAGAGTGGCACGTGTGTTTTTATTATTTAAAAGGTATGACACTATGTCGAGTTTTTTTCTTTTGAGGTTTATTGTCATCAGGATTTGCAGGTGTTGAGAAAGAAAGTTTGAAGAAGAAAGAATACAATGGTTTACATTTGTGGGGACTAATTTTGACAATTTTGATATTTTGGACACTTTTTTGTACGGTTGGATATATTGATATATCTATTTTTATTTTTTTGTTAAAAAGAAAAGTTTTATATTTTCGTTTATAATAAAAATACATTTAATTCAATAATGTAATCAAACCAAAAACACTGAAATTTGAAATATAGCACCAAGTTCCCACATCACTGAGCAAAGTCGCAAAATTGTTTTCAGTGACTGATGACGAATTTCCCCACAAATCATTATCACTCAATTCTGCAAGTGGTTCTAATTTACTATCACTGTTCTCTAGCTGGTGACCTTTTGACCTAAAGGGACACTTTTTGGACACCATGGACATTTCTCAGTTTCCAGGCAGAAAGAATGGTAAAAATGCAGGCAGGGCACAGGACAAAGCACTAGGGACAAAATGTATGTGAAATCGTTTGATACAGGAATGTAATACTATGAGATTTTAGTGTATTGAGTGAATGTCACATTTTTGCATCTTTGAATTTCCCGCCGGTTTCATCCCTCGTACGTCCCGTACGTCCTGATGCTTGCAGGGAATGGAACCCGGAAGACGGACATCGGCATTGACCGGAGGACATGGCCGGGGACGCTGCTGGGGGGACATCGCGGGAGCGCAGGACAAGGTAAGTGCTGGAGGGATCCCTGAGCAACACTGCAGGGTAATCCTGAGTGTAGCTTGGGGTTACCACTTCTGGTACTGAAAGTTAACCCCGAGCTACACTCGGGAATACCACCAGGGGGGTTAACTGACTAACTGACACTGACATTAATGCTCTGATCAGTGCTAATTCTGTACTAATGACACTGGCTGGTAAGGGGTTAACATCTAGGGAAAATCAAAGGGTTAACTGTGTGCCTAACCATGGGTAATGTGTGTAATATATGCTGTTTTAACTTTACTATATGGTTGATTTTTCTCACTAAGATAAAACAGCCAGATTGCCTGTTCCCAGTACGCAGAGTTCTGTGTTCTGTGTGTGACTGAACACAGCCAACAGCTGACGTCAGCCAAAATTAGCTGCCAAACTCGTGCTGTGTCCAATCCCAGCACGGGTCGGCAGGGGACGCTCATGCTCATACCCGAAGACCCGTAAGAAGGCAGGCACGGTTATATATGTGACTGTGCCTGCCCAAGTCTCCCTGCTGCAGTAAATGTACTGTGTCGGGGCAGAAGTTAGAAGCCTTTACAGCACATCAGTTTAGAGTTAAGTGTGAACACTTGTATTAGAATTATTGCTCTCACTCTTTGTGAGTTTTTACATGTACGTTATTTTTTTAAATACAAGGGGCACTATTTTGCTAAATATGTTGCAATTTCCGACAGTTTTTTACACTGCAACTGAATAGTCTCAAAAGATGGAACAAGATTGATAAATGACCTCTATAACACAAATGCATGATCACACAATCACATTGTTACGAATCACGGCTGAAGATCCGAGCAACTATATTCTTTTCAGCTGAAAGGATATATTAATTTCAATTTAATCAGCTAGAGTGTATGTAGAAACAAGTGTGGTCTTTGTCCTTTCTCTGATCTGTGCTGCGTTATTTGTTTCCATGGTAATTGTAACTTCGCCTAATAAGTCTATGTTGCAACTAAAAATATATGAACACGAAAACAGCCATCCTACAGATCTGGAATAGTCATCGTTTAAAGTCTTTACAGCGATGAATGAAGCAATTCATAGTATTATTTTTCTTAGGAACCCACTAAGATAACAAAAATGCACTCAAACATATCAAGATATAGGACAAAAGACATCCTTGTTATAAGGAGTGTCTTCATCAATGTTTCAATATGCCACTAGTAGTATTCCCCTCCAGGGGCGGACTAACCATTTGGAAACTCGGGCACTGCCCGAGGGCCCGGGGTCAGTAGGGGGCCCCATGAGATGCCCCTGGTACCTTTTCATAGGCTTTTTTGAGTTTGGGCAAGGACACAGGGGCCCCATGATCCCCTATTGCCCGGGGGCCCCATGCCGGGGGCCCCATGAGTTGTCAGTCTGCCCCGTTCCCCTCACACTAAGGCCAGCCATAAATGGGTAAATTTTTGAACGATGTTTCATTCAAAAATCAGACCTAAGAATAATCAGCCAATTTTTGATCTATTAGTGGGGCAATGACACCGGCTGATTTTTGTGGTTCCTCTCCATTTTGTTTATCAGGCATGCTGGAAAATTCATGAAAATTGACCAATTTTTTAAATCATTAATGGCACCATCGGATTACAGAACAATTTTTTCCATTTTCAATCGAAAAAAAAAAATCGTTTAGAATTCGACCCATATATGGCTTGCTTAACCCCTTGATGCCCGAGCGCACGCAAATATGTGGCCTCTCGGCGCCTGGACCTTGACGCCGAGCGGCCGCATATTTGCGTGCAATTAAAAAATACATATGTGTTGTGAGCGCTCGCCCTGCGCGCTCCCAGCTCATATGTCTGTGACTCACGGAAAGGTCCGAATCTCTCCGATCGGGACCTTTTCCGATCATGTGACTGCCGTGACGGCGAATCATGGCGATCACATAACCCTAAAACCCCCCGCCTCCCAGCTTCTGAAACTCTTAAAGGACCAGGAGGTGCCGGCGCTAAGAGGTTAAGGTGGACTCTGCACACCTTTAGGCCCCTTTCACATGGGCATGAGCCATCCCTGCGGAAATGGAGCAGGATAGAACCGATGTCACTTTTGATGTTGCATTTATCAGAGCTTTTGGGACCCATGTTATATCCAAAGCTGTAAATATTTTATTTTTTTATTTTCTTGGGGTGGGGTCAGCTTCAAGCATGCAGAGAACAACTGGACAGCATGAGCAACACACCGCAAAGTATTGCAGATGTGGCAAAATTTTGCTAACAGTGAGAGGGGCCTAAAACTTGAGCCCACTTGCAGTGTACACACATAGCACTGTTCTTTTAACCCCCCCCCCCAAAAAAAAAATATTCTGTATTTACTCTGCCACATTCCAAGATACACAGACAAACCTCAGCACAATCAAAGTTGCAGAAATTGACACTCTAGCATTCTATATGTTTTTTTGCATACCTACTTTGAAGAAGAACTTTGTTAACATAATCAGTGACTACTTAGCAACTAGCAAGTGATGTACAATTCAAATAGTGTAGTGGTCAGGTGTTTATAATGTATTTAGAATACAGTGCAGTGGTCAGGAGTATGTCATATATTGCCGATCGTACGGAGTGCAGGGCTGCATACTGCGCAGGGCTCAGGAGTGCATACTGCACAGGGCATTTGGATTTCTATCCAGTACAGAAGTCCCCCCCAGGACAGTTTTTTTTTCCTTCTCTTTGCCACTGTAGCTATCCCCCCTCCATAACACACTCACCAGACTAGGCAGTTCAGAGTGACTGGAGCTGAGGAGGAGCTAAGGAGAGCTTTCCTCACTCTGTGCTACCTTTCCCTGAGATCTGACAGGTGTCAGGAGCTGCTCCTGTTTCAGATGCTCAGCGGCTGTCAGCAATAGCTATCTGCAGACAATCTGGGGGAGATTTGGACCCCTTAGCTCCCCCTTATCTATTCCCCTGATTAGATCTATGGGCGTCCGGATGTAAATAGATATGTGTCCATTTGGATCAGACTGCCTCAAAATCTATCACATTTAGGTCCAAAAATTGTTGAAATTCAGAGTTCGTGTATTTTGTGCAACAACTACATCAGTATTCAGTAGATAAATTCTTCAACCAGTAGATGGCAGTGTTTATAGGTTTGTAGCTGCATCTATGGGAAACTCTATGTAAATGTATGCTGGCCTTTTCTTTTTTTTAAATTCACAGGTAATTGGATGTAACTGGTTGCAAGTCCATTTAAATCCAACTACCTATAGACTAACGTGGAACTTTTATTCAGGTCTGCTTGAAAAACTGTGAAAGGGGACATAGGCTCCATTCACACCAATGCTTTTTGTTAATGCTTTTTGCTTTTGCAGAAATGCATTACAGTCCATGTAACATGGAACATGTTGACGTTATGCTTTTTTGAGCTGCTGCATTTTTGGAAAGGGTCAGGGACTTTTTTAAAAGCAAAAAGCAGCTTTTTTTCTACAATAGTATTCAATGGAGAAGCTGATGAAATGCATGGTAGTAAGTTTTTGCCGCGTTTTGCATTTTTAATCTGCCCAGCAACAAAAAAAATTCCACTTTAACAAAAAAAAAAAGAGCTGAACAAAACGGAAAATGCAGTAAATACACATCAAAAATGCGTGTAGAAAAATGCAAAATGAACTGCAAAAAGCATTGTAACACACAAAAAGCAAACTGCATAAGTGTTAACGGAGCTTTAAAGTGGTTCTAAAGGCTCAGGGTTTTTATCTTTATGCATTCTATGTATGAAGGTAAAAAATATTCTGTGTGCAGCGGCCTCCCCAGCCCCCCCAATCCTTACCTGAGAATTGTCCCCTCTGAAACAGCGATGTTCACAATAGCCTTGGCTCTATGGGGACTCTCCCTTCTTGTTGGATGAAACAGCAGCGGGAGATCGCTGCAGTCAATCACAGCTAGTGAGCTAATGTGATAGCGGGGGGGGGGGGGGGTGTCCCAGCAGCAGCTCTGTTTCTTATGGACACATAGAGCAGCCGCTTGGGAGCAAGCATGTAGGGCATGTAGGGAGCACTGCTTGAGGAGGGAGGAGCCAGAGCGCTGGCGGGGGACCTGAAAAGAAGAGGATCGGGGCAGTTGAGTGCAAACCTACTGCACAGAGCAGGTAAGTATGAAATGTTTGTTATTTTATGGAAAAAAATGAAGGTTTAGTATCAGTTTAAGATTTCTATGCAGAACTTCCTTGTGAAAAGAATACTTGCTCAACTGTCAACTATCAGCAGCCAACAATAAGCATACAATACAGTGCATATATAGTAAGTGTGGGCTTGTATGTGTTCCAGTTTGGATCATTTTGGAAAGGACAGGACATGATTCTACGTGGATGCTGGCAATGTAAGAGGAAGGTGCAGAAAATAAAATGAAATGGTATGTGTGGTACTTAGACACTGCGAAGGTTGTGACTGTGGTACACAGTTGATAAAAGTTTGCGAATCTCTGATCTGTATGAGTTTAATATACAAGAGCAGTAGTATATAGTAAAGTATAGTAATCCATGGTAACCCAACAGAAATGACTTTCACTGATCGTTCACTAAAATTGAACTTTATTGATTACTACAGGTTACAACCAGAGGTGTATTTAGGTTTTGTGCTGCCCTAAGCAACATAAAAATTGGTGCACCCATGACCTTTACCCGAGCCTTCCACTACCACTTCCCCCCATACACCAGCCACCATCCCCCATGGTGAGAGAGAGAGAAAGACCCTCACCTTCACAGCTCTGGACATCCCCAAGAATGAGAGTTGGGCTGTGCGTACACCGTCATGAACCCACAGCATCTCTCGGAACCCATGCCGCGTGTGTCCCTTCTTCTGTCCCTTCTTCCAAGGGGCAGTGCTGCCCCCCCCAGAAGAAAAATGCCACCCTAGGCAAATGCCTTGTTTGCCTTGTGGTATATACACCCCTGGTTACAACACCAGGTCTACATTTATACTTCCTGACACATTAATCCAATTTTTTTTGCCACCCCCCTCCTTCCTCAGATGGCTGGCTAACTAATCCCATTTAACATACATGAAGATTATTTAGTGAAGAGTTTAGATTGATGGAGAAATTCTCAATTTACATTTTTCTGCTTTTTATTTCATTATCAAAATGTATACACTTCTCTGTGTTTTATGGTACACA